GTAGAGCCGGCAGGACCCATGGTCGATCACCCGCAGTACGATCCGTCGAAGAGCATCCTGAAACATCCCGCGGCAGTCAGCAACCAGATCGTAAAGGTGTCTGACCGGAGGGAAGGCGAGGATACAGCCGAGGAGATGCCTGAAGGCGACGAAACCGAAGGCCCGACGAAGACGAAACCGATCGAGACTGCCCTGGAGCCGCCCACGGCGAGTCAACCTTTGGAGGACCATCAGGTCTGCATCAGCGAAGGAGGCCAGCTCTTTGCGGAAAATGTGGACTGCCATATGGCGGTCCTGCCGGAGATAACGATGACCACGGAAGATGTGAAGCTCCAAGATTTCCGGATCGAGAACGACGGCGAGAACACGCCGGAGGAAGTAGATCGCCTAAGGAAGATCATCTGGAGCCGACAACACCTGTTGCTTGGGAAAGGAAACGCACTGCCACCCGCCGCGCGAGGCGTCGTCTGCGACATCGATACAGGGGACGCCAAGCCGGTAGCCCAACGCGTGCGTAGAGTGGCACCGCAGTTCCGTAGCAAGTTGTCCGACCTGATCAAGGGTTTGCTGTTCGCCAAGATCAACAGGGTGCCCAGCTCCCCGTGGGCGTCGCCGATCGTGGTGATAATCAAGGAGAACGGCGTCGATATCCGACTCTGCATTGATTACCGCGTTGTGAACAGCCTGATGCGTCTCATGGTATACCCCATACCGCTGGTCAACGATCTGCTAAGTTCACGCAGAGCCTCGACCTGATCAATGGTCTGCTGTAGCGCACTCAACGAGGCCCGCACGCCGGCAAGGTCCAACGAAGGATCGGCCAGCTCGATGGTGGACATGGTGGCAGGGGCGCCGCGCGCAGCAGAACGGGGAGACGAGCAGGGCGAGGACGTGAGGTCGACGAAAATGTTGCTGTCTGCAGAGGAGAGAGTTAGCGAAGGAAAAGGGATCGAGGACGCATGGAAACGGACGTACCGGAAGACATGACGATGTGGCTGCACGGACACCGAAGACGAGCGTGAAGGCGCAGACGAGAGGTGATGCGCGAGGCGGAAATCAGTGAGTGAAGCCCGATAGTTGGTACTGTGGACTCTCACTCAGGGGACGATTGTGGTGAAGCGACAGTTGGCTTTTGCGAATAAGAAAACTGATTGATG